CTCTGTAGACTTTATTCTGGTCAGAATTGTGGATTTGTTCATTTCCACATGCTTTTATTTACTGTTTCAAAATATAAGTGGAAAAATACAAACTAAAGTTTAATTGAAGAAATAACTGTAGTAGTAACCTACGTGTGAGAACAGATAGACATGTAAAGAAGTAACAGAATAGGATAAAAATATTACATTTCATTCGGAGGAATAAAACCCCTTGGCAATACTCAAAAGTTGAACAATAAACCATAAATTTCCTGAAGAATCTTGAGACCACAAAAACGGACACCTGAATAAGGTAAGCAATATATATGTCCTGTTTCTTGTTTCAAATGGACATGCCCATTGTACAGCTGCTATGGTAATTAGCAGTTTGCTTAAAGTCTGGAAGATAACAGCAGACAACAAATGCAAACAAAAACAGAGTCAAATAGCTTGCCTAAATGGTTGCTTTTAACAGCAGCATGCAAAAGGCTACATTCAGTGCATGGTTTTAAAAACCAAATCAGGGCTGTCATCTAGTCCAGAGGCCAGACTTTCTCAAGCCGAATCCAATTGAACCTTGTGCAAGAGCCACCAGAAATCAAACAGTTGATTCCAAGGAACAATAATGGGTCAGGTCTGTCTCTTAAATCAGGCTTCAGCCAGCTGTCTTCAATCAAGCGTTTTTACTCTCTTGTTTGGCAAGGAGCCTCATAGAACCGCTCTGCATTCTAGTCACTGTATGGGGCTGGTGGTCTTAAGTCATTGTCACTTGACTGGTCTATCTGCAGTGCTTGTGTTTGAGTAACCTGAGGTAATCCTTGGCTTTGTGACTCCTGGGGCTGAATTCTATAGGTTCTGCTGGAGCCTCTTCCTCAGCATCTGAGTCCGGGCCCTTAATAGTATATATTATATTGATTTTAATTCTTAGAGCTAGTGAACAGAAATTGCCCTTGGATATACCTCAAATAGATTTAGTTTCCATTTTTTTCAATTGTATCATAACCAATGCCAATGAAATATTGTGTGGCCTTTTTATTTGACCACTAGGGGTCATAGTTTATGTTTACAACTAGATTTATCGCCTGTCATAGATAGTATCATAGGGCAGAAAAAAAAAAGGGAAAAAAATCTTAGTTAATCCTGTGGTTTTAAATATCAATAATATTTGAAATATCTTTTAAAAAGCTTCAAATAAGTTGGATCTAAAAAATTATTAGGGAATGTTTTTCTCTTTGCCAAATTCCGACTTCAAGCATTAATCTGTTAACTTCAGCCAGCATGTTCAAGAAACTGTTGGTAACTTAGATTTTTAAAGTTTTAAAAGTTTTTATTTGTTTTTTAGTCTACTATAATTAATAGTTGTTGGGCTGAAACAGCTTTCATAATTCATGGGAAAATACTGTTGTAATCACATTGTATTGCTTTATGCTGCAATTCTAAACTAATTTACTTAGAAGCAAGCCTTATTAACTTCGGTAAGACTTATTCCCCTATAAACATATTTAGGATTGCAATCTTAATTGTGACTACAGTTTGCTATTGAATATTCTTTTACTATTCCTCCACCCTTAACTGAATACTCTTAAAGTTATAGGTTATTAGAAATATTTTTGTGCTCTTAAATTCGGCAAGAAGTCCATTCTTCCTGAAAGATACTAAAGGATATTGTTCTAGTTTGGCTTTTCTATCTTAGCTCTGTGCATATTAAATTATTTGATTTGATTATTTCAAATTATTTCTATCAAAAGATTTCAGTTAAATTGCTCTTCGTTTTTGGTGTATTTTTTCCAGGGTTTCTCAGATCCATATATTTGCTCAGCAGGCAGTATTTACTAGGCCCCATAACCATTTTCTTACTTGTAATCTTCACCCTGTTTAATTTATCATGATGATCTAAAAGAGCCATATAGGATGTTTCTTTGAACCAAAATAACTTCTGTCCATGAAAATTAGTGTAGAAATCTAATATACTCCTGTTTACATATATGCCAAGACATCAACTTTATTTATTTGGTTTTACTTAGGATGCATGGTGGCTCAGTAGCTTAAAAGATGCTGGAGAAATTCCGGTGGTTCGAGTCTTNACATCCTTCCAGTGTTGCTAACCATGTTTTGGACAGAACACCACTCAACGGTCCTGACTGCTAGGTGAAGAAAGTTTACATCCAGCTCAGAGTATGCTAGGTGTACTGTATGCTGTTTGAGTTAGCATTCCGACTTTTTCCCTCATGTAAGGGTGAAAAGCCTGTGGCCTTCCAGATATATCTGAGTTGCAATATATTATCGTTTCATGAAGGGCTACAGGTTTCATTTTATTTTGGAGAAGCAGGCTTTATCTCAGGTCCAAGGTCCCATGTCGACATCATGGATTTTCAAATTCCTCCTTCTGTCCGGATTTCCTATAAAGCATCTGAAGCTTATTTGAAATCACAGGATCCTCTAATAGTCTCTCACAAGGGATTAAGATTTGGTATCATAGAATATTCCTCTTCCCTTTCCTTGCAACCCTTTGTTGGTGATTCCTGGCTAATGCATATTACGCAATTAGGTTTAATAGAAAATAATTTCCTTTTGAATAGTTGTTGGAAAAATGCTTAAAAATAAGTTTTTTTAGCATAGAATAGTAAAAAGAATCCATGCAACTGATTACAATGACAAAATTCTGATTGATGAAGATGGCTTATTCAGTTTGATATATTGCTCTGTTATTAGTTATAGAAATACAGAAACACAATTTTAACTCTACTCTTCTCTTCCCTTCTTTCAGTCCATGCAGTGACATTATTTCTTAATATTTTTGGATGTCTGGCTTGGTTTTGCCTTCAGCCCATGCGAGGAGTTGACTTTGGACTGAGTATTCTCTGGTTCTTGCTTTTTACTCCATGTTCTTTCGTCTGCTGGTACAGACCACTTTATGGAGCTTTCAGGTAAAGTACTACCTAATTTGTAATTTGTGCTGTTAAAAAGATATCTAATTGATTTTTTTCAGTTAATTAAAAAAGCAAATAGTCCTCAAATTACGACCACAATGGATCCTGAAGTTTCCATTGTTAAGCATGACAGTTGTGAGTTTTGCTCCATTTTACGACCTTTCTTGCCACAGCTGTTATGTGAATCACTGCAGTTAAATTAGTAACACAGTTGTTAAGTGAATCTGGCTTCCCCCATTGTCTTTGCTTGTCAAAAGGCTGCAGAAGGCGATTCCATGATCCTGGCACACTGCAACTGTCATAAAAATCAACCAGTTGCCAAGCGTCCAAATTTTGTTCACGTGATTATTACAGTGGTCATAAGTGTGGAAAAAAGACCACAGGTCACTTTTTCAGTGTCATTACGACTTCAAATAGTCATTAAATGAATGATTGTAAGTCAAGGACTACCCATACATTGACAAAAATATAGCTATCTAAAATATTACTTAACTCAGGTTTTACAATTTAGTATCAATAATATTCAAAGTTGATTTATTTTGTAACATTTGGATGT